AATAAAACTTTGATACGAAAAAATGATATTATTTTAAACTTGAAAGAAAAAAAAAGGACGATTCGGAAAAACTATATTGTTTGTTTGTAATTAAGCACAAAGCTACAGAATGGGCTATCTGTGCTCTGCCCTCCACGGGTATCAAAACCCGGATTTTAGCGTTGTAAGTCCGCAGACATACCGCTGTGCCACTGGGGGATAACTATATTAACTATATTTGTTAATATTATATTAACTATAATTATTTAAACACGTTTCAAGGCAGAATGAATACATACTTTTAAGTATATAAGAGCTTAAATCAAAGGAAGAAAAGTATCTTTCAGCAACACTCGAAAATAAAGATTGATGATTGAGGAAAAATTAGGTAAAATGAGTTCAAATACTAACAGGTACGAAACAAATATGTAGAGATAATACAAATACTCGTGCAAATCCATCAAACTCAAATTTGTATTTTTAGTATTTATAAACCTTACAAGTTTTACTCTTATTAATATAAAGTTCGTCAGTAACTATTTCAGCACTTTTATTTATGATTTCTTTTCCTTGCCAAAACTTCAATTTCAGAGAAGAAGAGATGACATAGAAGCCTAATCTTTGCTTTGATTCGCTACTCCCACTGCAGTAGACTAGTTTCACCAAGATTACGGCTCAGCAGTGCTGCTTAAAAGAGCCAAGTAGATAAATAAACAAAGGTTTATATAGTGGTTTAATTTAAAAGTTTGTCTGGTTTTGATGTATAGTCCATTACTCATCAACTAATACCTAAATTATATTAGGTGTACCCTGGTGTAATCAATCATTTTCAAACACCTAAAGTATTTCAGGTTATTAGTGCTGAGTAAAGGACTATGCATCACAATCAGTCAATCTTAGTACTTCTTATTATATTCCAGTTTCATTCAAGAACCTAGTATTTTTGTTAGGTTTCGTTACAATATCATTACTTCTAACTTAAATTGAGTTGCAATATTAATTGTTCAACAAATAATTCAGAATAGATTTGCCGCTAGAGTTACGTGACACATTATAATCTGTTACTCATAAGTTAAATGAACTTGAAACCTGCACACTATACATGATTAGCGATTTTGTTTCGGTAGTGAAGTATTTCACCAAAACTCGTAGTAAATCCTTCGTGAAGTAATGCCACTACTATATGAAGCGTCACTTCTGTGGGACTGTGATAAGTCTACAAACTTACAACGCTCAAATCCCGGGTTTGATTCCCTATGGTGGACATAGCGGATAGCCCAATGTGGTTTTGCTCTAAAATGAACAATATTAGACCAATCCTTTCTCAATTTGTTTTACGCAGTTAATCTATGTTAATGTCAAGTTGCGCTTCAAATGCTCTTGAGTTGAAACAAAAACACGATTTGAATAATTTCTCTAGTGTATTATAGAAGAAAAGTTTTAGTTTCTTTCTAAATTCCAATTTTAAACATAATTTGTTCTTCACCAGCAACAGAATACATTATATGTAAAAATATATATATATAAAGATACACAGCAGTCTTAGGTTTCAAGTTTTACCAGGAGCGAAGCACATGATGTGGAGTACAAGTCCCAAAAGGATTATCCATGAATGATCTGAAGGACACCACTCGTAAGCCCATGTCAAAGGACCTTCCAAAACCGAACCGTTACACAGACCTGCAGTTGAAATATCAGGCTTGTCTGGCCCAGCCAAGAGACAGCTTCCATTAGATGGTCCGGATGGGAGGTTGAAGAAGCAGTAGCCACAATTAAGATCGTTAACACATTTAGAACACATGCTGTATGTATAAAACATGAGATATATTTTCGTTACTAAATATAAAACTGTAAAATATTCATACAATATATATATCATTTTGATGTCATAATTTCAACACGCATACAATGGTAAAGTCATTCAACAAGGATACTCAACTAAAAACAAAGTAATCTAGTTAATATGTTTAACTGTTTATCATTAAAGTTTTTCTTTTACTTCATCCTAATTTAGATATCATCATTTGTCTTTTAAACTAAATATTAGTAACGAGTTTAGCCCTAAATGTATTCTGTTGATAGATAGAACCTTAGGGTAATTTTAAACAAACACGTATAATATTGTGCTGTATTTTTATTTGTACTTAGTTTTCATTTAAAAGTTATTCATAGCTTCAAGTTCTATGTTAGAAAACTTCATGTTATGTTAATGTATACTGACCTGTATGAGGAACATGCGTTATCAGAGCCCACAGTACCACTAACGTCTATCTGGGGAGAGTGAATATCGACTAGTTGAAACCCAACAGCCAGAGTTCCAAGGCTCACTGCCACTCCTGCATGTAACATAATAAAATCAGTGCACTCAATGTTTGATTTTAAAAAAACAATACAAGTGTAATAAGTAAATAGAAAATAAGATGTAGATAACGTAGAAAGTGGTAACCTAAACATGTTGGCATTTTACCATGTAGTAATAGGAAGTACTAACGGGCATGATCCTCTAACTCAAAATATTAATGGTTGTTGATAACGTAGAAAGTGGTAACCTAAACATGTTGGCATTTTACCATGTAGTAATAGGAAGTACTAACGGGCATGATCCTCTAACTCAAAATATTAATGGTTGTTGATAACGTAGAAAGTGGTAACCTAAACATGTTGGCATTTTACCATGTAGTAATAGGAAGTACTAACGGGAACATTCCTTTCCTTTTGGACTTGGTAGGTATTTAGGTTAATCATATATCTCATTCCCTGGAGGGGAATTGAGATATAACCAGGGGCGGTCAGAAACACGTGTTTCTCTTCACCCCACTACATGAATGGGAATGTGTGGCCGAGGCTTTAACTCAAAATATTAATGGTTGTTGATAACGTAGAAAGTGGTAACCTAAACATGTAGTAATAGGAAGTACTAACGGGCATGATCCTCTAAATATCTTCTTCAAACCTAATATTGGATACACTGTTCTGGAACGATTTTAAAACACCACCGACTTAAGTTATACAGCGAGAAGATAACTGAGTTGATTCAGTTGACTTACTTTCAGTTTGTTGAATTAACACATATGTAACCACAGTAGTAATTTGTATCTGTATGCTTTGCACCATAACATAATCACACAAAGTTTTGTCTGAATGAGTCACGTCAATAACCTCTTTAAAACAACTGAGGATAGAGTTTGTGTTAACTTAGCATTTGTCTGTTTTTAGTTCTCTAACCGTATTGGTTGAGTAGACTAGATTTAGAGGCTTTAAGACCAACGACTTGTTTTTGGTGTCATTAGATCACAGCCTGGTATTGCGACAAAAAGATGTGACAACAAGCCCACCTCAAGAGGTAAATGGAGGTTTTTTGTTGTTCAGTAAATTAACGTCAGTTCTGGATTATACAACTTGCTCGCTCATTAATAAAACAATCTTATTAGGAACTATAAGTAACATCTAAGTAAATTAGATGCTTAACAAATACAAAACCTTTAACACCAACATCTTGAAACCTTTCTTGTATGTGATTAACGTTAAGAAACATCCATTACGGCAACGAGTAATTTTTTTATTCCATTTCTTCTTTACAAACTCCATTTTGCGTTAGGTCTGTCCTGTTCTTCTCCAGAACTACAACAGACAGATTCACTCAGAAATCGACAAACGTAACAATAATGTCATAATGTTTACAAATGTTATGAATTAGGATCTTCTCCTAATGTCGATTACTTTTAATGTAGATTCTTTAGGTACATTTTTCTCGTGAACTAGCTGCAGCGTTTTAGACAATTAAATCTATATAGTTATTCCAACTTTCTTTACTTTTACAGTGTAACATTTTTCAACCATCAATTTAAGCCTCCTCTATCACTAATAACACACCGAGGATCTGAAATACGGTGTATAAAACAGAATATAAAATTCTAAATGTCTACTGTTACTCAATTTCACATTATCTGAGTAAAACATTGTACATTTTAGTTTTACGCACTTTTTTTCTTGCCATTTCCTGTTTTCTTTCAAAACTGGGTTAACCATTTTGAAACTGATGAAGGTGACAACATAAAATCATGGCATGAAGAGATGTCTGATAAAATTAATATAATCTAGTGTTAACGGACGTTTTAACTAAACTCTAAATATGGAAGGTTTTCGTTACAGTTAAAAAATAAGAATTTGCCTACAACTTGTCAGAGTTTCTTATTATGAATCAACGAAAATACACTTTCTGACAAACATTATTGTAAGCAAAAAATTTGATAAGTTGTGAGAATGATGAGCTGCAACGGAATAGTGTGCGTGTCTTACAATAAGTTGTGAGAATGTTGGGCTGCAACGGAATAGTGTGCGTGTCTTACAATAAGTTGTGAGAATGTTGGGCTGCAACGGAATAGTGTGCGTGTCTTACAATAAGTTGTGAGAATTTTGGGCTGCAACGGAATAGTGTGCGTGTCTTACAATAAGTTGTGAGAATTTTGGGCTGCAACGGAATAGTGTGCGTGTCTTACAATAAGTTGTGAGAATGTTGGGCTGCAACGGAGTAGAGTGCGTGTCTTACAATAAATTGTGAGAATGTTGGGCTGCAACGGAATAGTGTGCGTGTCTTACAATAAATTGTGAGAATGTTGGGCTGCAACGGAATAGTGTGCGTGTCTTACAATAAGTTGTGAGAATGTTGGGCTGCAACGGAATAGAGTGCGTGTTTTACAATAAGTTGTGAGAATGTTGAGCTGCAACGGAATAGTGTGCGTGTCTTGCAATAAGTTGTGAAAATGTTGGGCTACAACGGAATAGTGTGCGAGTCTTACAGTCACAGGTGTTGCACTCAGTACATGTTTATTGTGCTCCTGAAAGTCACTCATTGGCCATAGGGCTACTTACATTCTTTTCCCGAAAATAAAAGTGGTACTATTCGCTCATTTTGACTATTGTAAAGTTAGCTGTTTCTCTGTATTAAATAGAAATCTAAAACGTCTTAAGCTAATTTCTAACAGAGCTCAAAGGTTAAAAAAAAAAATATTCGTGACTTACTAGGCAGCAAAGAAAACTTGGTTAATCATTTCGAAATAAAATCAATTATAGCAATGGACTCATCCAGATAAACTTAACTGTTTGCCTACAAACTGTAAAGAAAATTACCAAATAGTTGTTTTTGAATTTCCCGCAAAGCTACACGAGGGCTATCTGCGCTAGCCGTCCCTAATTTAGCAGTGAAAGACTAGAGGGAAGGCAGCTAGTCATCAACACCCACCGCCAACTCTTGGACTACTCTTTTACCATACTAAATAGAAGATGCAATTAAAGTTGAAAACAAGACCTTGATTCATTTTTGTTTTGTTTGTTTGTTTGTTTTGAATTTCGCGCAAAGCTACACGAGGGCTATCCGCGCTAGCCGTCCCTAATTCAGCAGTGAAAGACTAGAGGGAAGGCAGCTAGTCATCACAACCCACCGCAAACTCTTGGACTACTCTTTTACCAATGAATAG